GATTAAGCATCCAATTTCATAGGACCAAACTGATCAACTAAAGTGGCTTCTCCTGCATAGTCAAAATTGCAAACAAAACAACTTTCAACTTAATTGTTCAAAAGTTGTCTTCAAGTTCAAGGGGTAAATAAGGCAAATTATCACGTTAAACAAAACTATTATGCTCCTAATAAATTCTTGGATGATAGAATTCAAATAAAGGTCCCTCCAAAGTCCTTCCCGTCCTTTGACTCCTCTATGTTGCTATTCCAGGGATAACGACCCAAGCACCTAAGAACAACAAAACCTACTCTCATCAACGAAATTTACCCAAACAATTAAATTTCAGCACATTCTCAAGAAGGATCTCTTAAACTCAGTTTTTTTTTCCTTGGGAAAATTTTCTTAGTTTTCTATTGAAATTTAACACTTTCATTGCCAGGTCCCAAATCCTGAATGAGAAAAGTGGAGGCTTGCGTTAATTACTCGGCAACCAATATAAAACTTGTCGAATAATCATGTCATGAATCATTTAATACATTGTGTTAATGCTATGGCGTTCCCTGGAAGCGAAGCATTGTATGGCTTGAATACAACGAGAAGTGTGCAAGAGTTGCACTGGTGCCCGGGTGCAGTGTTAAATAGGTAAGGGTTCCCACATCATGGACAGATGTGGGCAAAGAAGATAGTCCATGAAACTAGAATTAGGATAGGAACTTAGAATACAGGTTCCCTATCAGGCAAATTAATAGGATTATTAGATATTATGGTTCATAGCCATATCAATATTCTATGCATTCAGGAAACTAAAAGGGTGGAGAAAAAGCTAGGAGATTGATAGTTTAAGATTTAAAGTTTGGTATTCTAGTAGGAGTTGTACTAGAAATGGCATGTGTGATTATAGATCAGGGTTTGAAGGATAATATTGTAAAAATTGATAGAATTTGAGATATAATTATAATTTTAAATATTAGTGTTTATGCTAAGATTATTAATATTATAAGTGTTTATGCTCCTCAAGTATGATTGGATATGTGTTCAAAATTAATATTTTGAAATAACTTAGAAGAATTAATACAAAAAATGCTTCTTGAAAAAAAAAATTTATTGAAAGAGATTTAAATGGATATGTTAGTAGAGAGGTGGATGATTTTAAAAGCATATATGGTGGCTATGAGTTTGGATCAACCAATAAAGGTGGTAAGACTATATTAGATTTTGCTTGTGTTATGATTTTCTAATTGCTAATATTTTTTAAGAAAAGAGATGAACATCTCATCACCTATAAGAATATGTATAATAAAACTCAAGTTGATTATTTTCTTATAAGAAAAATATATCATTGAGATTGCAAAGATTGTAAAGTTATTCCGAGTGAAAGTATATGTACTCAGCATCGATTATTAATTTTGGACTTTTAAGATCAATGTGCATAATATAAAAAATAAAGTAAAACATTATTCTAGGGTTAGATAGAGGTATTTAGATGGATGTCTGATGATGACATAAGTAGGAGATTTTGAAATGTTTACCGCCGGAAGCTCGTAGATCGACGGCTACGATGAGGAGTTTATATCTTTGATATATTTTATGTATTAGTTTCATATTTATGATTGTACCCTTGCTTGTGTGTTGATTTGAGTTGTAGCCCTATAGGCATTTTAGTCCTTTTCCTTCTCTTTGAGGCCTATATATTAGGTCCTTAGTCTTGTATTATGATGATGGATTATTAATAAAAAAAAAAATTATGCACTCTTGTTCTTTGGGAAGAACTTTGGTGAGATCCCTATGTGAGGGAAGCATAGTATCCACCAACCGCAAGATGTGTCCGAGCTCATGGTTTGAAGTCCCTAGGTGAGGGCAGCGTAGTACCCATAAGCCGCAGAATGTGTCCGGGCTCATGATTTTATATTTCTTTCCCTGCACTTCCTTTCTCCTTCTCTAATTTCCCTTCTTCTTTCTTCTAGACGCCGCTCTACCCCCTCCTTCTCCCTTGACCATCGACCAAACCCTCCATAGTCGCCGGCCAAGCTTCCCTCTTCCCCTCCTCCAACCGTCGGCCACTCCACCATCACCTCCTCCCTCTTCCCTTGGCTCCACAAATTCCATCTTGCATTCGAAGCCCTTCCTATTTTGGCCTTCTTAATTTGATAACAAAATTTGAATTTAAAATTCACACAATTTTGAATTTGAATTTGTTTCATAAATAAGAATTTCTATTTTAGAAAAGTTACTTAAACTAGATCTAATTAAATTTTTAATTGAATTTGATTTAAAATTTTATATTATTTTTTTATTAGTAAATCTCTTTTAGGAAACCCCCCAAATCTCTCAAATCTGAAATTAAATTCAGATTTAATTCCCTACTCACATTTATTGCTTGGGTCCACATACATTATATGTGGACACTTTTCCTCCCTCCCCATATGGCCGCCCCCTCTCTCCCCTTCTCTCTAATTAATGCCACTCCATTAAAGCTCTCAATCAACCCCTATTCGCCACCCCCTTATTCCCCATTAAGGATAGTTTAAATTTCAAATTATTCCCGCCCTCCTATGAAATATGAAATTAAATTCATATTTCTTAATTTATTTCCTTCCTCTCTCTCTCTCTAGGTTGTCCCCTCCCCTCTCTCTCCAATCCACTTAATTCCCATTAATCCCCCCCTCTTGGAGCCTTAATTCATTCTTAATTAAAGGGATAATTTTCCTTTCCATCCCCATTTGAAATTCAAGTTTCAAATCACTCAACCTCCTTCCCCTTTCCCCTTTCCCTCCAAGTTTCAAACCAAGCAATTATGACTTTCCTTATTGGCAATGTTTCAAATTAGAAATGTTTTAAAATTCAAATTTTAATCATGGCTAGCCCCTCCCGTTCTACATCAATGTCCTTATTAGACATTTGCAAGAGCATGTACCCTAGTGTGTTTTTTGCTGATGATATTCTTCTTGTTAATAAGACTAGAGAGGGACTGAGGCAATTGAAGGTAAACTTGAATTATAGATGTCAACTTTAGAGTCTAAAGGTTTTTGTTTGAGTAGATCTAAAACCTAATACATGGAGTGTAATTTTAATAGTAATAGTTTAGTGGGGGATTGTTACTTTGGGCAATCAAGTCATTAATAAGAGTACATGTTTTAGATATATTGGGTCTATTGTCCAGAGTGATGGTGAAATAGATGGGGATATTATTAATATAATTCAAGTTGGATGGTTGAAGTAGAGGAATGCATTGGGCTTGTTGTGTGATAGAAAAGTAGCCCTCAAACTTGAGGGAAATTTCTATAAGATGGTGGTGAGACCTGCAATGCTTTATGGCGCAAAGTGTTGATTATTAAAAGAGACATAATATTAAGTTAAGTGTTGTGGAAATGAGGATGCTTAGGTGGATGATTGGCTTTACTCTTAGAGACAATATACGAAACGAGCATATACGTGAAAAGGTTGGAGTAGCTCCAATGGCAGATAAGATTAGAGAGAGTTGCCTAAGATGATTTGTTCACATAAAACGGCGGCATTCTGATGACATCGGTTAGGAGAGTAGATGTATTAGATTTGGCTTATGTTAAGAAAGATAGATGCAACCCAAGAAGAATTGGTTAGAAAATATTAGAAATAACTTTTCTTTATTAGATTTAAACGAGAATTTGACTCTTAACAAGGCACAACGGAGAAAAATGATTCATGTAACCGACCCCACATAGTGGGATAACTGCTTGATGATGTTGTTGTTGTTGTTGGCACTCTTAGTGTGTATGGTGGCTTTTCAATTTAATATCTCTTATCTTTTGAGTTCAGCTTCTTAATAGAAGTTCTGCCGTGTTGTCTCAATTAGGATCAATGATTTGTTGGAGACTGACACTTAGCCTTGAAAAAGGATTTACAAGGTTCTCCCTAAATCTGGAAGAGGGTGGTTTAAGGGTTAAAGGTTCATAATTAGTCTTGAAAGAATTAGTTGTTGGCTGGTCCCAAAACAGATAAAAGAATCATGGTTTAATCCTTAAGCCAAAAAAGAAGGCGGGCAAGAGCTATTGCAACACATCAGTGAAGAAGCCAAGGCCAGTAGAGAAATTCCTTGGAGAGTTGCTGTAGGCTCGTAGAAAAGCCAACACATTATAAATTTGTGTTTTTGTTTTGCTTTATCTAACTTATTTTTACTAGTTTAAACATAACTTGCATAATATCTTAATTGCACTTGAAAATTTCAGGTAGGAGTTTTAGAAAAATTTCTCTTTTAATTTTTCAATCTTTTCTTAAACACCCGATCTTTACAACTATGCATCCACACAAACCAGCATCTAAACAGAGGCCTAATCAGCATCATATAAAACAGATGCAGGAGTGACTCCAAAGGATTTTCCACTGGATTTGGGATGGAAAACATGATGATCCGTGCAAGCTCGAAATGGGATTTATGTTGCTGCAAAAAGTTAGAAGATCATAATCATCGATCTCCCAAGAAATAATTGACAAAAGCAATTGATAATGTAATTGACTTATTGTGGTTTAAAGCTTTCATTTAAGTTAAATAAGAGAATGTAAAGGTCAAAGAAAAAAAAAACTAATGAAATTAACCATAAGAAATTATCCAAGTGGAAATTAGGTTCACTTATAAGCATAAAAAACATAAAAACTCCTTTTCAGCGAATTTACATATTTTCACCAGAAAGCAGAATAAAAAATTTCTCATGCAATTGTCAAAGCATGCTGGATTTAACACCAGATGGTATTCGGTCTTACATTAGACAATAACAACTCAAAGCAAGACATTCCAATCCATAGCAATTCGGAAAACAAGAATATAGAATTTAATTTAATAAAAAGTAAAAAAGAAATGATTATTAACTCCAAGTACCTTGACGTACACAGTAGATAACTTAGAATCCAAAAAGTGAATTAAAACTAACACCACTGTTAAAGGGAGAAAGAGAGTGATAAACCATAGAAGTGTTAAGAGAAAAGTTTTAGATAAAGTATAAAATGGTAAAAATTTTAACTGGTAATAAAAAAGCATATCAAACCTTCGCATAGTAATCCTTCCAGACACGTCGAGCAATCTGATGCCCACCAAGATCAAATGCCTTAAACTTAATCTTTCCAATGCTCAGCTCCTCCGAAGTTGGGTATTGGGTCGGCTGATGCTGCACCAACCTCTGTCCCCATGCAAGATCATAAGAAATCCATCAGAGAAAAAAAAATGGTACTAACAAGTAAAAAAAGATAACTTAAACAAGAGACAAACTAGAAAGGCATTTCCGCCTTTTGTGCTTCAACAAAAGAGCTTACACAACAGAGCACACTTCAAACATTTTTTTAACTCAATCCATCAACATTGGTCTCCCATCGACACAATCTACAAGAGGACAACCCCCTAAGAGTGGCATTAGATAGAGTGGCTTTGACACTACCAAACAATAGTCACAAGTGAAAATTCAAGAAAAAAAAAAGCCAAACATCACATCTAGTTCAAAGTAGACCTCACTCCTAAACTCAAACCTAATAGGACTACCAACTAAAGAGGCTTTGATCAACATTAACTTTCTATTTATGCTCAAAAGACAACAGCAATGATATAGCCATAGACTATAAAAGTCTCCCCATGAAGACATATAATCGGAGAGGACAAAAATCTCCAAAAAAAAGGTCAAAAGATGATATATTTTGACCTTCCCAAAACCATCAAAATTAGAGGTTCAACTACTGGTCTTATAAGAAATCATCCAAAGAAACATGAATCTTGACATAAGATTGGGTCTCAATAAATGCACAAATCTTGAGCAACACATAACTTCAGGTAGGCATTGTTTCTAAAGCATCAAATTAGCACAATAATAAATAAATCGAGTTAAATAGGAATCTTACCTAGCTTGTTCAGGCTTAGCCAATCAAATTACATTAATCACTAGCTGGGGCTTCCATTACCTATAACTAAATATGAGGAAATCGAGAGAGCAGTTCGGGCACTAACGCACTGACCGTCTTAAGGATGGTTGACAGTAATGTCCCGCATAAAAATAGAGAGCGCCAACACCTCCTCCCTTAAAGCTCCTCTTTAAAATATCCATAGGGATAGGGTCTCCGCCAAAGATCCCTGACACTAGATCACACACAAGGAAATGAGGTATGCGAGCAGTTTCACTGAAAGGCCCCGACAAATTCGATCAGTTTGGTAGGCTACTCTTGTGTGCATAAACCCTCAAGTGGCATGTTAATCACCTGTATCAACTTATTGTGTGCAATAAAAACCCTGAGCTAAGAATGTTCTGTCTGGATCGCACATAACAAACACAAAATAATGTTTTTCTTACTCCTTCGCAAAGAGGATACAATCTCGAAGGAACCAAAGGCTTCCGAGAAAACAGAGTAAAATATAAGGAAACGAAAACAACCATTTAAATCAAGGCAAATTTTTTGAAAGATGCTTTTCTTCCAAGCTTAACATCCGAATTAAAAAAAAAACACACACGCGCGCGCGAAAAAAAGAGGGAAACTTTTTTTATTTTTTTATGCCGAAAAAAGATTAGAGTAAAGATAGATCCAGGAAAGCATCAAAACATATCAATCTGTAGAACCCAGAAAGATCTCATAAGAACAAAAGCAAGCAGATCCATTTAGGTCAAACTCCTTCAACTTTTTTCCTCAGAAAATGAAAGCACAAAAAACACAAATCGAATCACATGACAATTATAATTGTTCTTTACCTCGTCCTTGAGCATGTGGAGGAGCGTCGTCTTCCCGGCGTTGTCCAGGCCAAGGAAGAGGATCTTGGCCTCCTTCTGCCACAGCCCCAGCGAGGCAAGGACGCCGTAGAACCAATCAACCAGGAACATGGCGGATCGTTCGGATCAGCCGGATTACCACACGTGATCAGTCGAAGGAAATTGTATCCGGCGGCCGAGAGCCTCACGATCGAGAGACCGCTGGATATCGAAGGAAAACTCTAACGCGAGAGAGCGGAGGGACAAGAGCAATGGTAAGGGATCCGAGAAGAAAACGGAGAGCGCGTGAGAATAGACCTGTCAATATTGGACCCGACCCGAAAATTCGACCCGAAATCGACCCGGAATTTTCGGGTTTGGATTGACCCGAACCCGAAGCGGGTCGGGTTCGGGTCCGGAAAACTGACCCGTTTGCAAAAACGGGTCGGGTTCGGGTTGACCCGACGGGTTGCCGGGTCAACCCGAAAACCCGTTTAATTTTAAAAAATTAGATTCCCGCGCGTGAGTTGAGTCCCGAGGACGGCGTCGCTGGCTCGCTCTGCACTCGTATTCGTCTCGAGCTAACGTCCCACAGTATTCTAATTTAAAATTTGCAAAATCGGATCTATCAAATTAATTTTAAAATTATACTAAATTGAAATAGTCATTTAATTTATCAATTTGGTTGATTATGAATGAACTAAAATTATTGAATTTAAATTTATCTTTTGATGACATTATATTATTTTCATTTATGGTGCTAAGATCACTATAGTCAATCTTATTTTCACAATCTTCATTAAAAAGTTTAGCAAAATATCTCACCCACCTTTGTTGAATATCATTTTCTAAGAAAAGTATTTTTTAATCTTCATCCTTAATACACTTCACTTAAAATAAATCCTTACTACTCTTATCTCTTTGTTTGGCTAATTTATACATTTATCTTTCTCCATCTTTAGTATCTAATCTATTACATAAATCACTAAAAGCTAATGCCTTTGCATCGCATATTGCTTTTTTAGCATCCTTACGAGCCACTTTATAAATTTCCCAATTATCATGATTTTTAAGACTAAACCAATTTTTATAACAAAACTTCTTATATTTAATCTTTTCTTGCACATTTGGATTCCACTACCAACTATTTTTACTATTAGGAGCTTTTCCCTTTGATACTCCAATAACATCTTTTGCAATATTCTTAATATCACTAGCCACTTTTTCCCACATAGCATTAGCATCCTCATGCACAGACAAAATCTTAAGATCTAAAATCTTATTCTCAAAAATATTTTTGTTAATATTCTTTAAATGCCCCCATCTAATCCTAAAAAATCGTTTTACCTTATTATTTATTTTATGCCCCTTTATCTTAAAGTCCAAAACTAATAATCGATGTTTGGTACATAAATTTTGACTTGAAATAACTTTACAATCTTTGTAATCTAAAATATTTAATTTTCTAATAAGAAAATAGTCAATCTGGGTTGTACTATATCCATTTTTATAAGTGATGAGATGCTCATTCCTTTTCTTAAATAAAGAATTAGCAATTTAAAAATTATAAGCTAAACAAAAATTCGATATGGTCTTGCCACCTTCATTCGTCATTCCAAATCCACGGCCACCATGAATGCTTTTGAAATCATCTACCTCTCTACCAACATGTCCATTTAAATCTCCTCTAATAAAAACTCTTTCTTCAAGAGATATCTTTTGTATTAATTCTTCTAAGTCATTCTTCGTCCTTGATGTGGGAACCCTTGCCTATTTAACACTGCACCCGGGCACCGGTGTAGCGGCCCTTGCACACTTGTTACTGTATTCAGGCCATACAACACATCGCTTCCAGGGGACGCCCTAGCATTAACATAATTTCTTAAATGATTCATGTCATTATTGTTCGACAAGTTTTACGCTGGATGTCGACTACCTAACGCAACCCTCCACTTTTCTCATCCAGGACTTGGGACCTGGCAATGTCAGTGTTAAATAAATCACTCCGCATCCTCCAAATCATGAGTTCTATTTTCTCTTTCTTATCTTTATCTCTTAATATCATAATTCATTTCACTATTTCAGTCGAATGAAGAAAAAGAATGGTTTTACTAAAGGTTACATTGGAATAAGATATTTATAATAATAAAAAATATTTATTTAAATCAATTTTTTAGTATAAAATTTAAATAAATCATTTTTACTTTAAAAATTACAAAAAAGAAAAGAATTTCATAAAATAAATCATTTTTATTTAGAAATATTGGTGAAATCGGTTTGCAAAATGGACACCTAACAGCCATAAAATCATCACTTGTACCGATAAGTATCAATTTCTTAACGATTTTTGCTAGTGTCTATATATTACAAAAAAGTTTGTGTAAGTAAAATACTACGATCAAAATACTATGACGAAGATGGATTGCGATTTAGAGTTATAATAACTAGAAAAAATATTATCTAATCCAAAATATGAGATAGTATAATCTACCCATCTTAAGAAAATATTGTCCCAACATTTCTCTTAAGGATTTGGGCATATAATCGAGATAAATTAAATTCGTCCAATCAAAACTCAAATAAAATCAAAATCAAATTAAAACTCAACAAAAAGGATTCGGGCATAAAATTGATATAAACCAAATTCGTCCAATCAAAACTAAAATCAAATCAAAACACATTAAAAATAATACAATCATGCAATTTATTATATCATATGTCATTCAACTATGCATGTAAACTAATGCACCTTAAATTACTCATCATATCCAACTCTCAATCAAATCTTCCAATAACTATGATATGATACTAATTGTGATGCCTATAATCTAATTTAGAATAATTCATTTACATTTAAATAAATAACAACCAGAGCTATCTAATATCATATATCAATAATAAATAAGAAATATATTATATAATTTAAAACATCAATGTGCACATCTATATTTATTTCAAAAAATTATATACACTACTCATGATCTACATAATTTTATTATAACTATTATGTCCTAAATATAAAAAAATAATTAAAAGAAATAAAATCTACATAATCTTTACCAGCTTCACACTCTTGCTCCTCTGCCCTGACCTGAAATCATTTAATCACATATAATGAGCTTAAAAAGCTCAGCATGTCACCAAAATCTACAACTAAATTCTAAGCACGATAAAAAAGCAATATGCATGTTAAAGATCAAATCATAGTAGTATCAATCATATGATGATTGAATAAGTGCAAGAATAATAAAATTCAAATACAGTAGCAGTATAATATGTAAATAATAAAATACTATGATATATAACTAGTAAAGTTATAAATAGTATGGGTGTCAAATCTATAAATTAATCATCATATCAGTATTAACAATCAGTATATAAATCATATAGAATATCAAATCAAAATATCGATAAAGACTATCAAAATCAAATCAATATAATAAAATCATATATGGATGTATACATGCTATCCAATCATTTTATATCACATGCTTTGTATATCATTTTGATTTAGTATAGGTTGTTAAACCTAAGCAATTATCCCGCAGCTAACCAAGAGGGGGGGGGGGGGGTATAAGGGGGGGGGGGGGGGGGTGAATTGGCAATTTACAAAATTTTCTTAGATTTTTAATAGAAAACCAATTTTAATATTTTTCCAACTTTGATTATTAAAAAAAAAAAGCTTTTCAACCATAAATATTAAAGTACAAAAATAAAATAAAATGCAAAAATTAAAAATGACACAAAGGTTTATAGTTATTCAATCAAACACGGCCTACATCCACTCCTTGAAGACTCCCTCTTCAGGTATTGCACTATCACCAAAATGACTCTCCTTTTATCCCCACAACAAGGCAGAGAAGCTTTTACAAATCCTCTCTTCCACCAATCTCCGATGCGGCAGATAATTGTCATCATTTCACACTCTCCAAGTGTCAGCAGAGAACTATTGTTTGTTATACTCTCCAAGTGTCGGTAAAAAACTGTCGTCATTTCATACCCTCCAAGTGTCGGCAGAGTACCATCATCCTTTCACACTCTCCAAGTGTCGGTGGAATATCGAATATTCTTTAAATATCTTCTCACGAGCAACTAGAAATAAGAAAATATATGGTAATAAAAAACACAAAGAGATCTTTACCTTTGAGTAACCTTGTGAACCCTTCACACTCTACTTGCAAGAAATCTCTCTCAAACACTCTCCCACACTCTCTTTCACTTGACCTTAAAAAATCACAAAGAACAACTCTTTTTACATCAATTTTAAAGGACATTTTATATAAAAAACACGAAAAACCGTCCAGAAAAATGAAATTTTCCATTTTGAGCGTGTACGATAGTACAGTACAATCATATATTTGTACGTACGAACAGTTCAAAAACTATTAAGTACGAACTTTTTTTTTGAATCTGTACAAAATAACTTTGTACATAATGATTGTCTGGTACGAATCAAGTTCGTATTGTACGAACATTTGGAAAAAATTTCATCTTCGTATATACGAGGGACCACAAATTTTTTTACTCTGGACGACGTACGTACGAAGGCGACATCGTATAGTACAATCCGTTCAAAAAAATTTCGAGTTCGTCGGGACGAAAAAGGACCCATCGAATTCGTACTATGCACGGCGTACGTTTGAAGACGACATTGTACAGTAAGACCCGTTCAAAAAATTTTTTAAGTTCATCAGGACGAAAAGGGAGCCGCCCAATTTGTACTCTAGATGACATACGTACGAAGACGACATCATACGATATGATCAGTTCAAAAAAACTTTGAATTCATCGTGATGAAAAGGGACCTCACATTTTTATACTATGTATGGTGTATGTAAGAAGGAAGCTTCATACAGTACGAACTGTACTCATTAAAATTTTCTACATATAGTTTGTTTGATTACTCGAGGGGTAAAATAACTGAACAAATCGCCCCATACGAAATGACTTTGTACAGTACAATTAGTTTTAAAAAATTCTAATTTTAAACACTCCCCAGTGTGTGTGTGTGTGCACATTTACTCAATTACAATCACACTATCTCAAACTCAATAAAAATAAAAAATACAGACTTCATTTATAATGAGCCATAATCTAATATGATTTAAAGTCTTTAGTAATATGGAGTATGATTTTTCCTGAAATATTACTACACACAAATAATCAAAACAATACACCCAAAATATATTTGAAGAAATTGTAATAAAAATAGCAATATTTGGAAATCATAAAAAACATACATGTTGTAAGAATATCAACAATCAAAAAACTAAGTTTTAACTATCTCAACATATCACATGATTAAAATCGGTACAATGAATCGATAGTATTAAATAATATCAATATCTAAATCAGTAACAATAATAATCTAGTGGTAGGAGCAGTATATAGAGAAAAATATATAATTCAATAAATATGGTAAATAGGGATAAGAAAATCTTATAATAATGCTCTACTTGATCAATATTGCTTCAAAAAGACTAAAATATGCATATTCAAATTTTATTTAAATATAAGAGCTACAAAAAATGTTTCTGTGACTCATCATGAGTTTATGGAATGGATTCCTTTGATCGTGTTGATAACCTCATGAGCACAATTATCTGGCTATCTAAACTTGAGATGCCAATATGAGTCAGCATATTTACGCCTTCCTGGGGGTGAAACTTCCTTATTTATGGATTAAATAGAGCTATTGCCGGATTACCAACTCTCGTGTGTGTGTGTGTGTGTG